TGGTGATTAAAGTAGAATAGTTTAATAGTTTAATGATTTGTTCGGAAATATTTCCTAAAAGTTTATAGTAATTATCCAAAGAATTAAAGGGCAAAATGGTCATTTGACTTGAAAATTATAATTAAATGATATATAGGCATGTGGGATAAGGATGAGGAGATATTTTCTCCACTTCATCTCCTTTGTTCTTCTACACGAGAGAGAGACACATCAAAGGTGAGTTTGCTATTTTGTTAATTATTTGTTGTTTTAAAAGTTGGGTTATGATCACTAGATGATAATTAAGCTTAAGGAAAGCTTAAGTTATCTTAAAAGCAAAAGATAAAAGAGTTATGATAGATTAAAGAAAATGAGTTTTTATATGAAATCATGGAATAGAGTTGATAAGTTGAATTTTAAGTTGAATTTGACTTGTCATCTATGAGAATAAGAAGATAGAAGTGTTAGAATTGTATTTAGAACATATTGAAATTTTAGTATGATTCTTGAATTTCATATGAAGGATAGGATTTTGAAGTCATAGAGGATTTTCATGGATATAAGTTAGTTTAAGTAATGGTATTTGAGTTTAATGACATGGTAGGGGTTTAAAATAGAAGAATTGAAGGAAAATTTGATGATTTTCGAGCTTAAAATACAATTTCTGGGTAGAGGGAACCGATACCCTATGAATGAGAATCGATTCCCCCTCTTGAACGAAAAATTCCAGTATGTTCAAGGGGTATAGATTCCCCTGTGGGGGTATCGATTCCCCCCTAAATGAAAATTATAGAATTTGATTCATTAAACCGGTTTAAGTTATTAACATCAAGTTTAAAGTTTAGGCTTCTGATAGTTGTTTTGAAATGATATATTTATGTAGATATTGAGCCTAAACAAGTTCCGGAATAATCAAAGGATTATAATCGAATCAAAGTAAGGCTAAGGTGAGTGCAATTTAATTTGTACTTATATTATTGAATAAACATTGGCTTGCGATGAGCTAGTGATGGAGTTACTATGGTAAGAAGTAACTCCTAAAATGTGATTTGATTGGTAATTTATGTGATGATTTGTGTGATTATGGGATATGTGTTAAAAGACAATGATCTAAATGACTACATGAATCATGCGGTATAAGTTATGTGATTACATGTATGTATTAATACATATTGCTTGCATTACATGTTAATGTGATTATGAATAGGTAAAAAGGAAACAAATGATGATATAAGAATCTATTATAAGATATATGATATGAAAATAAGATAGTGAGCTATGTGAAAGAACTATGAGCTTATATGAATATGTGATATAAATGAAGCTATATGATACGATCTATGTGATTACATGCACATATGATATATGTTATATGAAATGACATATGAATAGGCAATACGTGATACATGTGATATGATATGGAATATATGGTTACACATACATGTGGTATATGACAGAAGAGAAATGACAAGTAATGTGAACTGTTAAATGATAATGCCCATGTTATGTGATATGAGAGCTAGGGTATAGTTGGCATGCCAAGGGTCGAGGGTTTACCTATGTTCTTCGGGACATATGGACTGTTTACCTATGTTCTTCGGGACATATGGACTGTTTACCTATGTTCTTCGGGACATATGGACTGATTACCTAGGTTCTTCGGAATCTATGGACTGGTCCTTCGGGACATTGATCGAGCTGTGGTGACAGCATATGTGTGCACAACCTCAATGTACTCACATACCTTAAGTTCTCAAAAGTATACATGGGCTAATACATGGTCTTTACAGAGAGTAAATAAATAAATTGATTTTCTACTATGTATGTTTTGTTGTGAAGTAGTATATGTGTTCCATGGTATGTAGAGAAATGTTCGATATATATATATTTATACGATAAAAGGTATTAAAAGTACTTGTATTATCTTATGTTATCATGTATACTGAATTATATGCGACACGATTGAATTCATAGATTGAATGTTTATATTTATGATAAATGCATTATTATTATTATGTTTTTGCTTCACTAAGTCTATGACTTAGCGTGTAAGTGATTAACACGTAGGTACTGAGAAGCAGAAGGGTCAAAGCTAAGTTCAAAGTAACAACATATCTCTGCTCAAAGATCAGATCAGAAGTAAATTACACAGTATGTATTATTATGTGATAAATAGGTTGGCATGTAAATAAAGTAGGTAAATTAGGTATTTATGCTCTGATCGAGTTTTGTAATATTTTAAACATATTTATATAAGTATAAATGCAAAGAAATGAACGGTTAAATTTTTACGAGTGTTATGTACAATTTACGAAAATCACTGTAGCAGGTTACTATAGTACTGTTCATATCGTATTTCACCGTTCATAAACACGTTTTTATCTTAAAATTTTATACCAAACACAATTGAATAGTATTTGATTGTATTTTCTTAATATAAATTCAAATGTTCAGTTATTTTACAAGAGTAAAGGTTTTGAAAATGTCAATGTGACATCTCAGACTCGTATTCAGGTCGGGTACGGGTTGGGATGTTACAATGAAAGTATTTATTATGGACATGGAATATGAAAACGAATATGTGAATAAATATGAAAGTGGAAAATGAGAATAAATAAGAAAGTTATGAAAAGTATTTAAATGAAATAGAGTATGAAATGATTGTTATGTTTATTATTGATTATAATAGTTTTGACAAAATCACTAGATGATGATTTTCAAGTCTCTGATTAGGAAATACAGTTTGAATAAATCGGTTTGGATATTTAATGATTTTATTTGAATTTAAGTTTAATGTTTGAATTGTTATGATATTTTAAGTTAAGTTTTATATAAAGAAAATTAATGTCATGATGTTGTTAAGTTGTTTAATATTCTATATCACCCTTAGCTTGTTTTATAATGTCTCACCAAGTGAATAATTAGCGTGTGATGATTTTTACACGTAGGTAAAGAAGGGCAAGTGAAGTAAGGAGTTGAGTTTGCATCAATCAACAAAGAACTACATGTATCAATAATGACATCATACTATTTTAAAATTTTTAGATGACATGTATACAAATAAAAAATGTCTAAGATATATTATTATGGTTATAGATATGAATCTAAGTTTTATATTTTAGATAAAAAATATATTTTATGAGAACAAAAAATATTTTAAAATTAGGCAGATTTTAAGCAGCATTGTTTACTATTGAACTATTAAACTTCTGCCTAAAATTAAGCTTGATTTATATTATAATTATTATTTTATGATTTTACACGATTAATGGAATAATTGTAATTAAAGTTAATAATAAAATGTTTTATAATGGAAGAAAATTTTAAGCATTTATGATAAGTGGATGTTTGTAAAGTTGATGTGACATCTTTAGTTCGTATTTTGAGATATATAAGAGCTATGAGTGTTATAACATGACAGTTAGTAAAATTGGTATAATTATATATTAATCACTCTTATTTATATATTCTATCAATTTAGTCATAATTTTAATAAATTAAGATAAAATTAATCTTCCAATCGGATGGTGCCATGTGTCACCATTCAATTATATTTATGAAATTTAATATACTTATTTTACAAATTTTAAATTTTAAAATACACTATAGTATTATTAGTAACATACGATACAATCTTATATTACCGCAATATCAAAAATTAAGAATATTATTAAGAATATTAAAAAAATAAATGTTCAAATAATAATTTAAAATTAAATTTTGAGATTCATGAAATAATTATCTTTAATTAAAAAACATAAACAACTCAATTAAATATGTATATTTTGTTCTGCAGAACAAAGTGTAAGCACCAAAAATTTATAAGAAACTTTTAATTTTACAAATCATAAATTCCTAAAAAATAATCTAGAATAATCGAAATTATTGTATTTTTCTATACCTTCTCTGTTAGTCATGTCTTTGGTGTCATTTTTATGTTTATCAAATTTTAAAATCTCTCAAGTTTTATATCTTCTGGTCAGCTATAGTCTAATGACATATTCACATTATCTATTAGTTAAATTTATTAAATAATAATTTTAACTATATATTTATCTACATATAAATAGTCATCGTCATCCTAAACCTGACACAAACACTAAAAATATATATAATTTATCATATAAGATTAAAAAAAGAAAAAATTTCTTGATTGTTCATCATTTTCTTCAACTTGTCTACTCTTTTTCTCATCTATTGAACATTGTTTTTGACTCTCCACCTAAACAAAAGGGCCTAAAAGTTAACCCATACCTAAAGAACATATCAAATCTTTAAAAATTTAAGATTGAATCAATCAAAAAATAATAAAAAATCAATAAACATTGATGTCACTTGATATGAATCGTGAACAATTCGATATAATCTAAATATATAAATATATATCATATCAAATCATCAAGAACAATAAATTAAATGCATAAGCGAACTTGAATTTAATTATATGTCAAAATCTTTGAGTCTTTTGGTTTTGATTGTTCAATAAAATATGTTTTTTCTTGGTGTAAAAATTCTCATATGGAGATAAAAAAAAATATAAGTTGACCTATATATTGGGGATCACTACTTTTTTATATAACTGATTATTAAATCGATTTTTAAATATTTATAATTTTGACTTTCATTAAATTATAAATACCTATAGTATATACAATTTAATTCCATGATACTTTAGTACCTATAATATATGTAGTATAATTTATAATTTAATTTTATATTATATATATACCTTCTCCGAAAATGAAATATATTTCATGCGTACACATTTTTTTGGATTAACATTTAACTTTTTTTTGGTACACAAAAGTTTAGGTCAGAGGTGACTCTCTCAATCCAAGGTCATGCCATATCTAAGACTTAATTGAGATTTACAAAGGACTTTACTGATTGTCCACCAAGAGTGACGGTGGTAGGATTCGAACTTGGACTTAACTCAAATTCTTGAATCTCAATCACTTGTGCCAACACTCGTTGGCTTGGATTAACATTAACTATGAACCTAAGATTTCATATAATTGATAAGGAAAATGTCGGATAATGGTAACATCAAAGCAACTGCTAAGTGCTAACTGAGCTTTACACAAGTTCACCAAAAAAAAGGTGAATCGCTTTGATAACTTCTTTACTAACAGATTCAAGACTCCTGATGCACACTCCTATAGACAAACAGGCAATCCGTAATTGTGGAATGTCCTGATTGTTCCATTCCATCCACCGGCAACAATCACAACTCCCCATGTTTCCGGTAGGCTCGTGTGATTACCGGCACTATTACGACAGAGTCGTTGGTGGTGGTGGTCATATGGATAACTCTCATGTTCCACACCTGTTGCATCCCACGAAGGAAGCTTTTCTTCAGGCCATGTAGCAGAGCCCTTGGATGATCCTGACCCGTCATTGGAGAACCAATTACAGATCGAGAATCGTTCCGGATCTCCGATCCGGGAAACACTCTCAATTCGACCTTCTCTCGGTGCCAATGCCCAGGAACCGTTATCATCCATGTGACTCTGATCTAGACCCTGGCCTGACCAAGGTATTGCGACGGATACATCTTCGCAGAAGAAGTGCTCACAAGAACGAATAGATTTTGTATGTTTGGATGTTTGGAAACACAAGCCATCGTAGTTCCAGACATAAACACGACAGTCTTCTCCAACCGAGATTATATGTTTCCCGGTTGAAGTGAACGATGCCGACAACTGACTTCCCGACTTTGGCAGCCCTGCATGGGTTCAATACAAATATCAGTTAATGAAAATTGCAGCATTGACAGGCTACACATGCACAAAATCATAAAAAGTATAACATAACCTTCAACTTCAAGCGTAGCGCATAAGTCATGATAATATTAAATATTCAATGCTTGACTAATAACTCTACTTTATCTTCAATGGATGTGCAGATTCATTAAGATCTCTGAAATAGTGAAAGGAGAAAGCTGTGCAGATTAAAGACGTTATCGATATGACTTCGAATCAGTACCTTTAAATTTATGAACCATATCTACTCCGTCGAATATCCGGAGTTTGGAATCTTCGCAAGCTATCATAACCGTGTGTGATTCATCCTGGGAGAACTGCAAGTAGGATTGAAATTGATTAGTACCAAATGGAAGATTAGTATAAATAGCAGCAATGGCTTTAGTGCAAAACCTGAATGCTTGTAATTTTGTTGCCAGAGGTTTTCTTTCTGCCATGAATATGTATCTCTGCCTGCAAACTGACACCGAAGCCTATTGCACGCAAAAAAGAAGAAAAAACTCAGGCCGTGCCGGAAAAAGGAAGCGATGACCGAACAGCTACAATTAAATACTATGATAGAACTCTGATTAGCAAGAAACTATTACCTGATGCTTCATAAAAGTGGCAAGTGCCTGCAATGGAGCCAACTACAAATTCCTGCTAGAATAATGAAAGGACATGAAATTATTACTATGCCAACAAGTTATGAAAAATGCAAAACAATCTTTGTTTTAGCAGATGAACATTGATTCGAGTATTCAGAACCACATGGACCTTGCCGTCTGGCCGGTAACATATAGCAGTTATAATGTCCTGCACATCCACCCAATGGACAACTCGCTTCTCAGAGACTCCCCAGATCCTTACTTTTCCATCTATCGAACCGCTGATGAAGTAATTGTGATCTACTGGATTGAACTGAATGCATGTGACTGTTTCCATCCAAAGAAAAAACATGGTTCAGAGTTTAGAACATGGAATCATTCATTTCAGAGAAGACAGGGAATCGAGTCCCTTAATAGTTACCGTAGTTATTATGGTGAAAAACATTTAGACATCGATCGCAGCTGACTTGCCACAAACGAACAGTTTTATCCATGGATGAAGAAACAAGAAGCTGAAACAACAAAACAAATTTGATTTAGTACATCAAAACAACAAAAACAAAGGTCTAAATGCACTTCTAGGCTTCTATTGACTCACGTTTGAACTGGACCATGCAAGATCTAAAACATCACTGGCATGTCCGTGAAACTCCTGCATTGGTAAATCCTCAAGCTGGAAAATCTTATTAGGGATAACAACTGGGGATAGGAGCGACTTTCTTCTGCCAAAAGTCAACTTTCCTTTGTTCATTTTTCTAATCAAACTGCCCTCTGCCATGAAAGGTTTACTAGAGGCATCTGTCGAGGTGACACGCCATATACGTACGACCCTGTCTTCACCTCCGGTTGCCAAATACTGACCATCTGGACTAAACTTCATGGTCCAGATGAAGCCCTTGTGAGCCTGTATTTCTTGTCCCATAGAAAGTGCAGTGAACTCCATGCACCCTTTCTTGTTAGGCTCAACCATCATTTTCTTTGAACTATGTACTACTTTGGTACCATGTTTTGATACATTAGATGCACATCTAGTTTTTCCCCCTTTCCTCATGCTCAACAAGTGTTTCCACCATTTATTGAAATTTTTCGAGTTAATTTCGCATTCATCCAAATGAGCTTGAACTTCATTCTCACTCTCTAGAGCTAAGTTCATCTCATGTTCTGATTCATCAACCAAAAGATTGGCTTGACAAGTCATCTCCCTCTCACAACAATCCGAATTTCCTTGGACATTGCTAACGGATAAAATGGAAGAACTCGGAACAGCACCACTGCACTCTGCAATCCTCTTTAAGTCCTTCTTACTTGATGACTCTGCAAACTCAACCAGATCCATCGATCGAAGAAAACGCTCACGTCGTTCCTTCACACTCGACGGATCGTTCATCCAAACCCCATACTCTAATTCTTCAGCAGACAAGCAATCCAAAGAATCAAAGAACACATCATCATATTCTCTCACATAAGACCTCAGCATGTCTTAAGATCAATGTTCCACGTCAAAACCACAGTAATATGCAACACAAAGAAGTTTCCTAGAACCCCTTTAATACCTTCCAAATCCCCAATTCATGGACCATAATTTACTCTCCTGATCATGTAAAATAATGGGATTGGAAGGGAGAAATTCAACTGAATATACAATTCTAAAAACACGGATAGATACGAGGAACTAAGTCCAAGTCCAGCAAAGTCATAAAATATACAAAATGAAAACTGTTAACAAAGCCAAAGGCGAATGGTTGGATAGTTTCAAGACGTGTATGTACCTCGGGTTCAATGCAAAGCAAACAGGAGGATTAGAAAAAACTATCACCGACTTTCCCTGTGATGGTGGGTGGCTCAACACCTCAGTAAGTCAATCTTTTAAGGGGCCTGTATCGAAATTTACAGCAATCAAAAGGGTGTCATAGTGTGAACATAAAGAGAGAGATTGGCGGTGGAAGGAAAGGTGGCCAAGCCAAAAACACAAGAAGATGCTTTCTGCAACTTCTATTTTCTCTTCGCTTTTTTGGATGATAACGATGGTGACGTTTTATCTTACCCACGTCCGAAACACCATGAAATTATCTCATTAAAGGACGGGCCGAATTAGGCAACTGTTGCAAAAATGATTGAGTGGTCAGTCTGGAAAACTGGAATGAATAAAACAGCACTGAATCATTCTCAGTACCAGACAAAGCAAAATTCAAAAGAGAAAAATGACAGCTGAAAAAGTACTGCGGGGAAAGGCGTGTGTCTAGGCAATAGCATATCGTTTGTTATGTCCATGTTTTTGCGGCCTTATGTTTATCCTAACAGTGATATAACGAATATTATTACGATTATTATATAAATTCTGATAAATATTTAATAATTTTTAAAAAAAATTAATCATTAATTTTAAAATAATAGTAATTAATAATATAAGTAAAATATATAAATATAATTATTTGAATTTATTTTTTAGAGAAGATAATATTATGTGTTATTGTTGAAACTATGGTCGGATGAAGATTGTAACTTTGTGTTATCTGCTCTGTTTTTTTAAATTTTATTGTTTCTGTGTATTAAATTTTGTGTGTCTTCTTTGTACAGCACTATTCCGGGTTTTGCGGTTTTTGTGGCAGAATAATCCAAAAGTAGATACGCATCAAATGGAAAGGGCCACCGCTTTGGATTATGACTTCCACACTTGAAAAAAAAGAACCTTTCAAGTATGAGAAAAACCCTTTAAAAAAACTAGTTAAGTGTTTGTTTAAAAAATTAGATCAATCAAATTATTATTTAAAAATTATAAACTTTGAAATTATATAAAGGTTGTTTCTTTTAAGTATGCAATCACATAGGAACATCTCACAAATTATGTTGTATATACGCATATTTTCTTTTTGGTATAATCAACGGTATTTAATATATTAATTGATTAATCCGAATCGAAAATTACAGAAGTAAAGACGACTCTTATAACCTAATTTATTATCATATTCTATTTTTTCTTTGTATATGCTCATATTCAATAGTAGGTTATCCAAACCGTACTTCCGCAACTAAGGCGACATAAAGAGACTTACACAGTGCGAGCGTGACTAAGGCAATATAATATTAATTAAATGTGTAAACTATACTTTTTAGTACATAAATTATTAATTTTAATTCGTTTTAATATCTAAATTTTTTTTAAAAAAAATTATATATGACGTTTAGTTATTTTAGTACCACACTATTAAAAACTTGACGGATGAACTCGTCTACAGTCGTCGACCGTTGCATCTGTCGATCAATGAAGCTCAAACTTTTTAGATCGTATCTTTTCGACCTCCTGTATGCGATTCTGGCCTCCGTTTCACCTTAAAAATCCTCAATCTTCCCAGATTGACGATGGAGTGTTCTATTTCTTCATTCTCGTATCTTCATGGTCGATTGTCTAATGGGCCTGAAACTGAATTATGTTGGTTAAATCATCATTCTCTTGTAGTCTACCGTTCGGATTGGTCGTCCATCCAACGGGGCTATGCCACATCCGTCTATCCGTTAAGTTTTTAACGACGAGATACTAAAATGAAACAAAAACTAAATGTTACGTAAGGTTTTGAAAAGAAAAGAAAAAAGAAATTTAGGTACTAAAAGAACCTAAAATTACAGTTTAAATACTAAATGCACAATTTAACATAATTTAATAAATGAAAACCACAAAGGAGAAAAATCTTATTAAATAGTCATTTGATAGCTCTCTATACAAATATTGCCACTAAGGCCCATTAAAAAAATTATCACCACTAAGATTTATCATGAGATCATGTAAATAACAAATCATTGATCAAAGCAAGGTTATCACCTACTTAGGCACAATTAGGGTATTAACTCGAACTATTTGATCATATGAGTATTAATGTTTTGAGGATTCAGGGTCTTATCTTAGACAGGGAAGGTCATTTTAGAAAGATAATGGATCTCAAGGGAGTCTAAGGGGTCAATTGGGTCGAGTTGGCCCAAACAAACCAAAGGAATCCAATTCTGCCCAGAGATTTTATGAGCTAGGACATTGGATTAAAGTTAGGTTTTATAATTTGGTTAAGGATGGAGATGCATTTTTCAAAATCATTTTTAACCTCAAAAAATATTTTAATCGACAAAATTTTCGTATTTTAAAAATTCAGATCCATCATTCATTTCAGGCTAAGGCTAAGTATCATCAAACACCTATAAAATGTATATTTATTATTTTCTGAAAAATCTACTTAAAACGAAATTTACGAGGTCTGTGTTGGTTGAATTGTGATGTATGCAAATAAGAGTGTAAAATGTACAAGTGCACGTAATCAAATAAGTAATATAATGATGAGTAAAGTATCATCTCCACATAAATGGATGATGTGCAACTCGATTTTAAAAATCAATAGTAAAGCATGTGTTTGAACAGTACATTATTGATTGAGAATGATGTGAAATAAAAGTAAAATTCTAAAAGCAATTGAAATGTTGATGACAACATAAATTAACAGATCAATTCACCGAGAAATGAACAATTATTAGGAAAACAAATTGGAGAAACGTTGAGGGGATCAAGAGAGGGAGAGTCTGGCCAAGCCTCAACCACTCATTAAATAGAGATTAAATGTTTTAAATCAAATTAATAAATATGTAAACAATAAAGATTAATTGTATAATTATAATAATTTCTTTAAGAGTCACGTCAACTCATCTATTAGATATTGACGACGGTTAACTAGATTGATAGTTAAATAATTTAATTGATAAAATTAAAAGATCAATAATTAAAATAAAATATTCACTAATTAAGTGGCCTTGCGAGTATAATTTACCCTTAAAAATATTGTCATTGGGCATCTAATCATCCACATTAATCAGAAAATTGTTGTTGGGGGCAATTTTAGTAATTTGAAATGAACTGCTAAGACAGTTTTGTACACGAGGGGAAGAACCCACCTTCTTTACAAGTTAAAGGCGCCCAGCTGGTTAGTGGTGTTTTTTCAGATTAACCATTTCTAGCACGACATAAAGAAGATGAGCTTTAGTATTTTATAGAATATTAATAAATTATTTTAAATATTAACTTCAATGGAATATTAATAAATTTTCATTTTAGTCTAGTGATTAAGTGTTAACATCCTTAACAATAGGTCTTGAATTCAAATTCTTCCTTTAAGAGCAATATTTTTTATGGTGACCTTATATAATTTAATATAAATTTTAGTAATATTTTAATAAATATTTAGTCTAACTCGGTCTATGCCCTTTTTTAAAGTTTAGGGTTTGATTCTCAATCAAAAATATCATTTTCTTTGATTATATTTTGTTAATAAGGTAGTAACATGTATTATTATCTTAATCATATAAAATTATTAAGTAATATTGTATAGACATTTAATATGAGGTTAAAAACTCATATTTTAACATGTATCATAAAAATAATTTTCTCACGGTCATATTCAATTAGAAAACAGCTACTATTTTATTTTAATACTTTTAGATTTTGATTCCGATCCCTTCCATTACTTTTGTCCAATCAAAAACCAGTTTTTCTATTTGATGGGTGTCGAAATTACATTCAGCAAACCACTCCCCCCTTCACTACTTTGTCTCTCTAAATAATCTAAACTTTTTGGTGAATATAAGATTTTATGTTGAAAAATAAATTTTAAAAAAATAAAAATTAAAGAAAAATTAATTTATAAAAATTTTAGAGAGTAAAATATATTATTAATAAAAGATATTTAAAATATATATGAATATAATTTTTTCAGAATGTGGCGTTGTAAATTACGGTTGGGAACGAAATCTTTGGTTTGAAGAACTTGCATGGTGGCGGGGCACGTGTTGTTGCCGCTGACAAGCCAACGCTGGATGCTGCTTCGGTCGTACGTTACGCCCGTGCACAAGCTCACAGGGGATGTCATCACGTCTAACGATATCGGACATCGAAACAAATTGGGAACTGTAATGTACAAATCGTGTCTTCGCATTTTCCCCCCTCGTTTGGGAAGCGAGAAAGTGGAGGAAAATTAATATTTCAGTGACACAGTGACTGAAGAACCCCAAAAGAAAAAAGAAAAAAGAATGGACTAGAGAAGTGGGAGATGACAAGGGAGAGGAGGGTGGATTTAAAGAAATAGAGAAAAATAATCAAAGGAAAGTAGGGATGGCAGTATGATCCGAATCCGACGGGGAAATTCGAAACCCGATCAAGTTCGGGTCAGGCCGGGTTGAATGGTATCGGGTCGGGTCTGGTATCGAGGATTTTTTTGGGGATTTTTTCGGGTGAGGTTCGGACGAAGGTATCCCCGCCCCGACCCGCCCCGATTATATATATATATTTTATATTTTTATATTAATTATATATATAATATTTTTTATTTTTATATTAATTATATATAAAATATTTTTGATTTCGGGTTCGGGTTTGGATATAATATTTCGGGTCGAGTTCGGGGATGGAAAAAAAAATCCCCAACAGGACGTCCTGATAAAAAACCCGTCGGGGATCGGGTCGAGGACGAGGATTCATTTCGGGTTCGGGGATGGGGCGAGCAAAACCCGACCCGTTGCCATTCCTAAAGGAAAGTTTGTAGGTTTAGACTCGTTGACCTGGGATTTAAAATTTCATTATCTTGATTCTAATAAAATTCAAATTAATATCTAAAAAATGTAAAATGCTTGTTTTATATGTTATTTTTAATATGATTTTAAAATAATTTATATTTTAATTTATAATTATAATATTATTATAAATAAAGATATCAACTTTTAAAATTATAATAAAAATCAAGGTAAATTATGTATTTATCCATTTATCTACTCTTGTGGGTTCGTTTTGATTATTCGACTATTTTTAAAAAAATACATAACGTTATGTTTCGATTTCATTTCGATCATCCACTATTAAAAAATAATGGTGCTACTAATGTGTTAGCATATAATCTCACATCATCATTAAAAATATATAAAGGTAAAGTACATAAATAGTCCCCCGATTATAAGATATTATTTATTAAGTCCATTGATTATTAAAAGTTGCAAAATAGTCCTTTGACTATATAGTGTTGCTTTGTTGAGTCCCTCGACTATTAAAAGT